ACCATTTAATCTCGAATTAATATTATTTATTTTCATTATAACAATTTAGTGACTATATTTGATTTCAAACGTGAATTATCAATTAAATATTTGACTATACTCACATTTTAACAAAAATCCATTTTTTTTTCTTTTAATTGCTAATGCTTCTTTACTTCTAACAATTAAAATTATTATTTTAAATTAAACTAATATTTGCAGATTTTTTTTTCTAATAATTTATACATGAAAAGTTCATTAATTTAATTAATAATTAAGAAATTTCATATGAAGTTACCCGGCGCATCCACCAATAAAAATTACATTTGCAAAAAAGATAATTAATTACAAATTATCTATAAATTAGAGAAAAATATTTCATATTTATCATTATGCATTTTTTTTTATTTTTACTAACAATGATTAAAACTAAGTGAAATTCACGATCTGATATTGCTGTTAAAAATTAATACTTTTTATTTTAAATAGTAATATTTAAGTGTTTACATAATTGAAATTGAATGTAATCAACTAGAATTCGATTATATAGTATAATTGTATACAATGAAAATAATCACTGATAATTTTCACATGAAACAGTTTCTATGCAAACAATACGTGGAAATCTAATCGATGTATAAAACAATGATTCGCTGAAAAGTAAAATCACGATATAATTTGAATGCGGGCCGAAGCTATTCCAGTAATAACAATAATGGAGGCTGATGAATAGAAACTTCTGTTCCTGAACGATGGTTTCAGTTAATTGAATGAATGGGAATTCGGTAACGCAGCTCTAAGTGGTTTCAGTTATGTGTGTGTGTGTGAATATATACGAGGGTACAGCAGAATCTGCATGTACACACTATTATATAATGCGCGGTTTCCATTCCACATTGCAACATTACCGCACACACAATCGGCGGCTTTCAATTCAAAATTATTTCCACCCGAACTGTACCCGCTTTGCTCACTTAATCATTCAACATTACAATACAATACAAAAAAGAAAGAATTTAACCATATTATTATAAATGCTAATTTCTATAAGATATCTAAATGATTTCTTTAAGATTTTTAAGCGGTTTCTCAGGGATTTCTAAGATATTCCTATGGAATGTAAGATTTCTATTGAATTTCTATGAGATTTTCTATGGCCGTTGATTTAGGCATTTCTTTCATTAAGGTTTTATTCATTTATTAAAAAAATGTCTATAGAAAAATCTTATAATAATTTTATGGCATTTCCATTGAATATCTATGGGATAATATTATTATGGTATAGCTTTGATTACTTCATGATTGAGGCTAAGGTTAAGGTTTTGATTCATTTATTGATAAAATCATTTGAAGAAAGAAAAACGTACTTTTTGTCTAAGAGGGAAAATCCTGGAATGAAGTGTGGAACTCTTCGAATATTGAATAGAAAACGCGTTTCCTATTGTTTTGATTTTTGTAATTCCAACATATTTTTTAATTGTTTATGAATCTTTTAATTACTGGTATTAATTAAAAAGAAATTTTTCCAAATATTGCTGCAATATATTATCTAATTAATTTACAAAAACCATATAAAACTCTTATTTGTCATTTTTTATATTGGAGCTGAAATTATTGTATGAAGAAAATTTGTTCATTTTATAGTTCAATTAGTCGTATTAATTAATCTTAATTTTTATAACATTTCTTTATAAAATATTTTAACTTGTGAACAAAATCACAGAAAAATCGTTTTCTGATATTCAAGGGAAAATCCTTGATGTTAGTCTGATTATTCGGTTAATTATAAATTACTGATATTAATAAGTAATAAGTTTACAAATAATCTAATTAATATTATTTTTATATTTTTTTCCAAAACATAATTTCAAGTCGTTTACAAAAGTATAGAAAATCGTCATTTTTCTTTTCATTTATAAAACAGCAATTGTTAAAGAATGAAGTATTGTTTTTAATTAGTACGTATTTTCTGAGTTACTAATTAATTATATTAATAAGAAAATTTTAGTGAATAATCTAATTAATTAATATTGTTATAATCTGTTGCAACAAATAGTCTATTTGTGATGTAAACGCACAATAGACTATATACCATGAACCATCTAATAGCATATTAAGTGCCTCCTATTATGATCTATATATACAGTACAATTATCCAATTAATTGTGTATGTTACGGTTTGCAATCTAGAACCATCAATGTTAATTATAAAAAAAAATATAATTAAATTACAAATCAAATCTGTTGAATCATACTTTTTAACAAAACTATAATTGCAAGTAGAAATTATTACATATAAATTATGTAATTACATTTTTGTAACGAATCTTAAAAATAATTGGTTGTATAATAAAATTACATATATTAATAGAAATATGTAAATTGTTTACGTGTTTGTTTTTTAACATTAATTACAATTTATTTTTTTTTGGTATGAAACTTTTGAAATTTGAAATAAAATCGATGTAATTACATGGAAAATATTCAGGACAATTTCACATCTAAATATAATAAAATCAATTAATATATTCTGGTTTGTATATAAAAATAAAACATGAATAAGTTTGCTTATTAATAACTAAAAAAAATGAAATTAAAAACAAAATTAAAAACAAAATCTATAGCATTAATAAAAAAATATGACTTGATTTTGTTAAAAAGAATTAAATTTAATGATATAATTATGATTTCTTTGAGATTTCTAAGCCATTTCTGTAAGATTTTTAAGATTTCTAGGATATTTTTAAACGACTTGTATGGGAATTCTATATGAATTCTATGGGATTTCTACGAGGTTTCTGTGATATGTTTCCTTTGTGATTTCTATGGAATTTCTACGAGATTTTTATATTTACATAAATTGCAAGTAGAAGCGATGGCATGTAAATTGATTACATTTTTTTTATAATGAAGCTTTAGAAAGAAATAAACAAATAAGTTGGTTTTGTAATGATATTACATATATAAATAGAAATATGTAAATTACGTAGACGTGTTTGTTGTGTAACATTGATAACGTTATCAATTTTTGTTATGAAACTTTTGAAATTTTGAATAATATATTCTAGTTTGTTTAAAAAAAACGTGAAAAGAAAATATGAAAATATAACTTTACTTATAAATAATTAAAACAATACAGTTTAATTGCATTTTTTTGTTGTGAAATATTGATTTAGTTTATATTTTTGTTGTAAAAATTTTGAAATTAAAAAAAATTACTTGATTTTGTAAAATTCATCAATTTTTACAATTCTATTATAAAATATTAGTTTCTTTTTTGTAATATTGTAATATGATATGACTTAATAGTCTTCAATAATACAATTTTAATAAAAATCATATTTAAATGTTTTTTTCTCTATGAATCGAGGTAATCGAAATTGTTAAAGTAAATCGTGACTTGAAAAATAAAGAAATAAGACTGGAGATAAATATAAAGGAGATCTTAATTGTTTTGAAACCGCTAAATGTACTTTAATTGCTTTTAAAATTAGTGCGCTTCGTGCTCTGCGTGTAATCGCTTTAATTACGCTCCGGGAAAAGGGAAGAACAGCGGCAAAAACAAGAAAAAAAAGAGAAGGAGTCTTCTGGTGAATCGAATGTAATTTAACCAGATATTGACTGGAAATAACCCAGTTTAAGTAAGTGGAACGAACATGCTGAGTGTATGTACAAGGGCGAGAATAAATCGATACGAAAATGCTCGTTGGTTTTATTTCATTTTTCATACAGATATGCATGCATATTTTCCCACCTAGATTAATTTTACGAAACTAGTTTTATTGTTGTTGAAAAACAAGTTAGTTATCGACAAAACAAGAAGTTGTAGATGTTTTCGTTGAAATTTAAAGAATAAAAAAAATAAAATATGAAAAGGGCCAGGAATCTCGGTCACGAGTGCGCTCGCACTGAACCCGCGCAGAGGTAATGTCAAAGTGCAGTGGGTCAAAGGGCAACGTAGTTGCGCTCGAACGAAAACTCACTTTTGTTTTTTGACGCCGAAGTAACCTCGATCCTTTTTTAATCCTAAATCGATCCCTAATTCTTTATTTTAGTTCTCAATTTAGTGTTTATGTAGTTCGTGAATTTAATTATGCTTTTAGGGCTTTGTTTTACAGGATGATGCATCATAGCTCGAAGCGGATTCTGGCGGAGCAATCCGACCCTTACTACTACTGCTGCACCTGTCGAGTTTCTGTTTCGCGGAGGCCACAGACACAGATACCAGACATGTAACAAAACCACTTGGATGGTTCTTCTGGTGAAGAGGAAGAGGAAGAGGAAACGCTCCCGAAACATTTCATTCGCTTGGTTTATTTTCGTTTCTTTGAAGAGGAAAGATCAAGGCAGGAGAATAGAAAGAAAGAAAAAATATATATAATAATTAAACAGAACGTGCATTAAGATAGGAGAGAAAGATATTAAAAAAAAAACGCTTTACCCCAAATGAATCTTGGATATACTTGAATTAGATGTGTTCAAATACTACAAAAAAAAATAAACAACTCTAGCTATATATATATTATAAAATAAAATACAGAGCAAGAGAAATATATTTTTAAACATTTGATAAAAGATTATTAAGAAAAAGCAATATATTCTTTGTGTCTTAATTTTTTTGGATGGAATATTTTTGTTAACACTGAAAAAGAGGAACATTATGATTTCTAGGTGCTTCTGATGGTAGAAATTAACGTAACGTACTTAAATATATATATATATATATAAAAAAAATGAAATGACAATATTATGAATACAGTTTAGGAAATGTTGTGGATGTTGTGCATATGATTTTTTTGTTGTTGTTGATGTTGATTTTGAACTACTGAGAAAAGCGTTGAATCGAATTATAGTACAATCATTTAAGAGCAAACCTTAAAGCTGTTATCAATTGTTATTAAATCAAAAAATAAACTAGAGCAGAAATAACAAATCAAACGAAAATCTTTTTTTTTGTAATATTATTATATATTATACCAAGTACAAATATGCAATTATTATTTTAGTTGATGAAAGAAAAATTTAAAAAACCGGTGATAATTTTTATATTTTTTAAATGTTGGAAATGTTTACGCACAAACGGACTGATCTGATCCTGTAAATATTAGTAGTAATATTGATGATAAAGTAGAAGTGTTTAATTTTAATGGTTAGTGGGTCGGTTTCATGTCGGGGTAAAGCGTTTGTTGTTTCGTCTGTCTGTTGTTGTTGCATTTGTTTAACATTCTTGGGTAAATTGATCGGATGAAATGTACGCGGCGGCGGGCGGTGCGTCTCTGGCAAGCCGGCAGGCGCGCCAAAGACAACGCCAGAACAAGAAGGCGGCCGCCCAGAAGGCCTCCAAGGCCACCGACCTGATACCGAAACCGCCCCAGAAGGGCCAATTCTACAATTACACCGATGAGACCGTTCCGAAGTTGTCGCGCGTCGAACGCAACGTGCTGCGACCGCCGCATCCCCATCATCCACCACACGAGCGTCGTCACAGCACCTCCAATTACCATCTGAAGGAGCCGAAGGCTCGAATCCGTGAGAGTCCATCGATATGCATACCCGTACAGAATCACCATCAGCCGTCTCACCATCATCAGCAGAAGCAACCGCTTACGCCGAGCACACTTCCGAATCATCTGCCGTTGCCGCAGTCGCCGACTCTTGGTAGTCATCATCTGCCGCAGATCGTTCCTCCCGAGGAAGGTGACAAGACTTTGGAGAGGAGATGCAGTTTCGTGCGGCAGGTCGAGGAGATGGAGAAGTTTCCGGAAGGAGGCACCGGCGTTCTCGATCGCTGCAACCATATGTGCAACTTCGAAATCAAAGACAAGGGCTGGGAGAACAACCCCGCTTTCTACTCCGAATACGATCGCAGCCTCTTCGGAAGTCTGGACTATCCCTTCTCAGAGGTATCTTTTGTTTATTTGTAGAAAAACAACATTTCCCCAACGTTTTTGTTTACATCGATAATGCTGTCTACTATATGTATGTATATGTTTCTTCCACATCACAACCTTAAGATTCCTTCAAGAAATATATCTTTAACAATTACAATTAAACATTGAACCAATAACATCAAAAACAAGACTAATAATAATATTACCATTACAATCTCGTGCTTGATGATAATAGAAAATTTAAATTAAATCCTTAAAACTAATCCGAAGATTTGAACAAAAACGTAATCGTTGGGTTTTGTTCTAACTATAATTTTACTTCGAAAAACTTGCGAATTCTACCATTTTTAATATACGTTGAACCAACGTTTTTCAAATTATAAATTTCATCTTACAACATTACAAATTTCTACTAAATATGATCTTAAACGGCGGCAATCGCAAGCCCGACAACGAAAATCCCGACTATATCAAAATCCCGACTATATCTAAATCCCGACAGTGCCTTTATTATTATAAATCTCTACAATAACATTTTTATGGTAGTCGTGATTTCGATATAGTTGGGATTTCGAACGTCGGAATTTCGATACACTCGGGATTTCGATAGACGGTCTTTCGGTTGTCGGGCTTGCGATATAGACCCGATCTTAAACAATAAATAAGTTCTTTTTTTGTCACTATTTGCACAAGTACTTATATAAGTTACTTGACAAATATTTACTAAACAATTTTTATAATGCATTTTATAAAAACAATATGCGTATTTGCGATTCGCAGCAACACATGATTCATAGTGACGTGATTATGCGTTTTTGTGTCCATATAAGGATTGGTTTAACGTTTGCAATTGGTTATCATGATGAAGATTCGGCGATTTCATTCGGCAGATTTCGGTTATTATGCGAATACGCACAACGCACTCTTTTCGTATCCATATAAGGATTGGTTTAACGTTTTAGAACCGCTGTGATTCATCGCGACGCAGACGAGATGTAACCATATAAGGTGATTTTTTAATAATCTATCTATTTCTTACATAACTTTATTCCTTTAGTTGCATTAAAATTTATATAATATTTAAAAAAAACGGTAAAAAAACGTGGAAAATGTTAAAAAAAAGACTAAATTTATAAATTTTAATGCGTTAATATCAAAAAAATAGTTTATTCAAGTCATGGTCTTTATATAATTAGTTAAAATTAATAAACAAATAGCAAACACATACATTTTGGAACTGAATTTCATTGCAAACATTGAAATTAATTACATTATTTCCATTTTATTGATAACTTCATCTCACTGTGTTGTGAATTTCAACACTGAAATCATGATTTTTTACTTGTCAATAATAAAAATTGTAATTACATTTTTTTATGATTTTGCTTATAATATTAATATTTATTGTTAGAGTACAGTTATTTAACTATAAGATTATTCTAACACATAAAAATCTCTTGATTTATTCCATTCGTAACCATATAAGGTGATTTTTTAATAATCTACCTATTTTTATTACATTCTTACCTGATTTTAAGCTTTTAGTTACATTAAAATTTATATAATATTAAAAAAAAAACAGTAAAGAAACGTGGAAAATGTTAAAAAAAAACTAAATTTATAAATATTAATGCGTTAATATCAAAAAAATAGTTTAATCAAGTCATGGTCTTTATATAATTAGTTATAATTAATAAACAAATATCAAATACATACATTTTGGAAATTAATTACATTATTTCCATTTTATTGAAAACTTCTTCTCACTGTGTTATGAATTTCAACACTGAAATCTTGATTTTTTTGCTTGTCAATAATAAAAATTGTAATTACATTTTTTTATGATTTTGCTTATAATATTAATATTTACAGATATAGTAGAGTTATTTAACTATAAGATTATTCTAACATATACAAATCTCTTGATTTATTCCATATACAACTTTTCAATACTTAAAAAATAAGTATAATTTTGTATATTAATTATTGTAATAATAATTAATAATTTTAATAAACAAATCCAAAATACATTCATTTTGGATCTAAATTTTATAGCAAATATTTCATATTGTTTAATAAACTACATTATTTCCATTTTATTGAAATCTTAATAAAAAAAATCTTTTAATAAATTATAATAAATTACAAATTTAAATTTATCGCTGTGAATGTAAATATTAAAAAAAAAAACGTTTCATGTAAATTATATTCAGTAAAAATGTCTAAATTTTAACAAATCATTGAATTTTAAATGTATATTCGCATCAAATCGTATATTTTATCTATGATGAATGTAATTATTTGAAATTTACGAGAAAAATCGCAGAATAATTCCGAATAGAATCAGCATAAATATAATAAATTACACGCCACGTTGATTACACCGCGAAATGTAATGAAACTGATAGTTAACAAAAAAAAATAAACATTATAAAAAAAAAACAACAACAGCATGGAAACAATTCCGCTGTAAACACGTGCACGCGAAACTAGATCCTGTGGGCGGCGGCGGCGGCGATATTTGCGCTGAAACCGCTGAAAATTTATGAACGTTTCCGAATTAATTCGCGTATTTCAATGCGGTCGGACCGCATTTCGACCTCCATCTATTATGATATTTCATCATACAAAACGTAACTTACACAAGATGTGAATATATATAGAATATAAAAAAAAAGGTATGTGAAGGAAAGGAAACAGATGCAAATACGTTTCCTTTTCTTGCATGCTTTTTGCATTTCATGTATTACTGGTATTTCCATATTACCCACCTCGGCTGAGATATTGTACATGTAGGCTCTCTTCTGACCCAGTTCTGTGCCCTCAGACCTTATCTTATCATGCGAGCATCCCTAATAACCCGACTCCAACCCTGACTTCCTGCCATTGATCCTCACTCGTCGCTTCCTCCCACCAATCGCCTTATCGATAACAGCCCATGCATCATCGTGTTCATAAAAATATATATATACGCGCTGCCCTGAATTTGGGATTACGCAATTTGTGTGTTATGTATTGCCTCGTGTTGAGAACACCATTAGAAACGGAGTCAATTGATCATGGCTGCAATAAATGTTAGAAGGAAACGCGATTAGTTCATTTAGATGGAAAGGAGTTAATTGAGTGAATGGTTATTATTATCTTCTCATCCATATAGACTTAATTGGAACTACAGTTTTTCAGATCTAATTACAGTTAGACCCCGCTTAACGCTGCTTCAATAAACGTTGTTTCAGTACTCAAATCCCCAAAATCGCTGACAATGAGTACGAACGCATGTTTGCTGTGTAACAGTTGATTTAAGATCTATCATCAACATTATTACCTCGTTTAACGTTGTTTCGTTTAACGCTTGAACTTAAACGGAATCTTAATGTATTAGTAATATAGATGACAAAAGAATGATAATAGTAATAAAAGAAATCATAATTAAAAAAAAATAATTGCAAGCAACATAATTATTGCTAATGAACAAAAGTTTATTAAATTTGAACAATTTTTTGTTTCGTTTTCAATTTTGCAATTAATTAATTGAAGTTACAGACTATTTTTTGTTAATTATAATCTAATTAGTGTACATTTTAAATGATAATTAATTACAAAATAATAAATAATATCCTAATACTGTTTACATTAATTAAGAAAATATAAGTTATGCAACAAAAGTGCAGATAAATATGAATTCATTCATTCATTGAATAAATTATTTACAACAAAAAATGCTATTTTTGCCTCGCCTTAAGGAATGCAGCCAAAAAAAGCAACGCAGACGGTGCAATTCTCAGAAATAAGCACGAAATTATGAATGAAAACGATCAAAGTATGAATGAAACGTAGTAATAAAAACGTAAATGAAAAAGCAATATTTTATTGTAAATACCAAAGACGAGACAACAAGAAAAAAACTGTATGTATTACTTTTATGTCTGCAGTGTTTTTTCTTTAGTTTTGGCGTAAATTTTAAATATTTTAAAATCTCTCTGCAAATATTATATAATAATTAAGTAATGTTAATTAAGTAATTAAGATTTTGATTTGATTCATAACGTTTTTTGATGTTTATGTAAAAGTTTAATCACTTTTATTTGCGTCCAAATTTGTATAACACTAAAAATATGATAGATATCAAGTTATATATATAGTTTTAGTCTTTGCTTAATACTAAAATTGTAGATATTGTTTTTATACTGCTAATTATACTTATATTTAAAATTGAATTTGAAAAGTAGTTCTTTATAAATTAGAAAACTTCTGTGGGAAACTTGATTTTTTTTTCCACTTTTCAAATAAATCTTTTATTACTTTCCATGTTTGATAATAAAAAAAATCATGTAATAATATATTAAAAACAATTTATATTCATCATTTCATCAATTGAGTGAATTTTTTATAAATATTTATGTTTGAGAAACTTTAATTGAACAACTGACTTTATTAATTAATTAACTAAATTATCTGTAACATTTTTAGTTTTCTTGGCGATAAATCTTAATGATAAAACATGATTTTTTTTTTACTTTTCTAATAAATATTTTATTACTTTCCATATTTTATAATAAAAAAATCATGTAATAATATATTAAAAACAATTTATATTTATTATTTCATCAATTGAATGAATTTGCTATAAATATTTATGTTTGAGAAACTTTAATTGAATAACTAACTTTATTAATTAATTAACTAAATTATCTGTAACATATTAAATTTTCTTGGCGATAAATCTTAATGATTAAAAGATTATAAGATAACAACATAAATTGTATTGCTAATGTAAACGAAAAAGTTAATTAAATTAGTAATGCAGTTGGATAAGTAAAAATAGCTTTAGTGATGTCATACTTAAAGTGAATTAGAAACTTCTTGGTAAAATAATTAATTAACAAAATAAATACACATTAATCTTCAGTTTAAAAAGAAACTCAACTAGAATTGATCAATTTTTATGATATTTCATTTTCTGAAAATAATTGTGACGTAAAACAGAAAAAAATCGTTTCTAATTAATTCAA